GACAACTTCATGTATAAATTAGGACTGGTGTACCAGTTGTCAGTAAATATTGTGGGACCCTTATCAAAATAAGGTTCCAGAAGAGTCATCACTATGTTACCTGATATTCCAATAGTCTTGGCATCAAAATCCTTTATATTTGTATCTGCCCCAGTATAAATTATAAAATTCAAGATGAAACCTGTTTCGCAGTCGCATAAAATAAAAAATGTCACGCCGAATCTGTGTCTCTTGGAAGGTATGTACTGCTTGAATGACAGTCTCCCTTTGAATAACATAAGGCTTTCGTCAATACACAAATTCTGGAATGGAATGAGAGTTGATCCGAATCTGGCTTGTAGATGATTTATAACATAGCTTATTTTCTTCAACTTCTGGTTATTTTCTTCTTCATTGTTCACAAAATGCAAGTATCGTAGAATAGACAGATAGCGATCTCTAGCAAATATCTGTGAGAAAAATGGTGTCGACAGAAGAACATCCTTGGACCAATAGTCGTAGATAGACAATTTTTTGATTTGAGGCATCAACAAAGATGTTGCCAGAAAACTATACATCTCTGAAATCGTCACATCATACCATTTTTTGGAATGTCCGCTTTCAATAACTTGTGACTGAGTGTGAAATAAATTAGTCTGCTCTACGATCTCAGCTACAAGTGATTCATCAAAGAACAATTCAAAACACTGTAAAGCTGTAGGATGATTGCCTATGCCAGAGCAACCTGAATTATCATCGTCAAACTCATGAACAGTCGGCGTGAAATCAACATTATGTATCAATTCAAAGTTTTTGTCTTCGTCTCTTCTCCTCCTTTTGGATGGACCGGGTACTAAAAAATGAAATTATGGTGATGTAAACTCAATGAAGTGATCCTAACGAGATGATACCTGCGCAACCTGGAGTTTCTTTTTCATTCTGATGAGTGTCGGTTTGATCGGATTCGATAACTTCATTTTGTTCAACTGCAATCGAAGAAATAGAGACACTCTGTTCACGAGAATAATCCATCCCAACTTCGGATGAACTTGTCTTAGGTGGTAAATAAACCGATTCATCCTCTGAACCACTTTCTCCATCCAATGTCAATGCCAAATCTTCCAAATCATCGTCATTATCTTGGTACAGATAATACTCTAGCTCTTTATCGCTCAAAGTAGATCGTTTCCAGCTCATTATATCAAAATGATAAGCCTACGTTTGGAAAATATAAAAAGCTGAATTACCGTGCCCTTCTGTAGCACGACTCACGAGACAATGATGATAGGTTTGTTCGCGTTCGAAAAATAAATAGTTCAAAACCATCGGAAGCATGCGCAGTTCCACGGAACTTGGAACATGCGTAAAGATCTGTAAAACTGCGCATGCTCCTGACAGTTTCGGACTGTTTATATTTTGAACGCGAACAGGCCTATCAGTACAGTGAACACAATACAGAATGCCTAGTGGAGGGAGGCCGCTTATACCCGCTTCCCGTCGTTGTAACATGTGTTGCTATCCGATCATAGACAACGCCAGATGTGTACGTGAATCCCCGACCCAAACCATCTAAAGACGATGCAAATGGAAGGGATGAGACGATAGCGCGCGGTTCCCGTCGTTAGAACACTTCTCCGGTCGATTGAAAATATGCGGCTCCCGTGTATCAGATGCTTCAGTGAAATACGCATATATGCGTTTCCCGTCGCGAAAGGGTTAATGTAGCCCCACATTGTTTTACACACTCCTGAGTGAAATTTTGAAATGATTTTATAGCGTATTCCACTCGCCGATTTACAGAGCGCACTAGCACAGAGCAAGTACAAGTGGCACTGGCTCGGTTCTTCCATAAAATGCGGTTCCAGCACAGAGCAGTGGAATAGAAATAGAGAGTTGGTGCGACCTTCTTGTCATCAGTGTCAGAATAATTGTTTTGTCGATAAAAAAGTTGAATTATTGAAAGTACATTTGGTTCTGTTGGTACACATACAATGGATTCATCTACCTCTTATTATGGTTTCCCTGTGAACACTGTCAGAAACCAGGCAGAAACAGTCTTATATATTATGAATTTTCATTGTCAATGATGTTCAATTGCATCATTCGACAATAGTGATGTAGCATTGAAGTGTCGTTCACGAAGTTAGTAATTTTCATCATTACAATCAAAATCAAATATGTTTTTCTCCGATTGGCAGCAAATATCAATTTTGCTGACACATATCAATCAGCAAAGTATTAATTTTCCTGCCTAGGCAGCAAAGTGGGTACTTTGCTGATTGATATGTATCAGCAAAATTAATAATCCATAAATCGTTTATAATTTCCTTCATATTTCATCCGAGACTTCTCCGGCAACAAATTCAACTCTATATTTTTTGCTACCTCCCTTATTTCTGGAGGTTTAAGTACTTCCAGGTCGCTATCACTGTCCATTGTATAATAATTTAAATATACCGATATTTTTTCGCACAACTGTCAGGAATTTCATGAATTGTCAAACTATAATAATTATTATGGACATTTCCATAGCAACCAACCATTCCAACAACTGCGATTTCTATCAAATTTTATTTTAATTGAACACTACAGGAAAAATAAAGAGACATATATATCATTATGAACAATCGGAGAAAAAATTATATGTTCAACTCGGCAGCAAAGTAGATTGACTGCCTTAGCTGGATTCCTAGCCTCGCTAAGCTCGGCTATGAATTCAGCCTCGGCAGTCAATATTCTACTACTTTGCTGCCTAGTTAAACAAATAACTATTAATACCTGCACATCTGAATAGCTTTCTTTCACTTTTAGGTAATTTTGAATCTTCCGTAAACGCTGTTTCGTAACGAAGTACTTCTGTATCTCAATCATAATTTTCTTCATCTTCGCTTGAATCCGAAGTATCTATGATTTTGGAAATTATTATAATAATAGTAATAAACTTCAATGAGATATAATTATTCAAATTCAATTCAAAACATGTTCCCACTCGTGACTCGAATATTTGAGGTTATGTTAATCGCACCGTCGTAAAAGCACTGTTCTGAAAACTCGAACTACCAAATTGCAGCTTTTTATTACATGGAGTTTCGGCAATACTCAAGAAATATCATTTTCAGGAGCCCCCTTTCAGGGGGGCGTAGCTCACTTAGAAGACATTTCTCGCCTCGTGTTTATTGAAACTTTTTTCCTATCTTCGATTGTAGAAGCCGTCGGTCAAGTTTGGCAGGCTAATAATGACACCCTATATAATAGTTGACATTGAAAATTTTTGAGGCTTGTCAAAACACTTTTTTTTAACAGCTGTACACGCTCTCCCCACCAGTGAAAGATCATAATATATCATATAAACTTTTAAACACTTTATTAAATGTTTGTCATTCCATTGTTATATCAATAAATATAGTTATTTTTGTATCTAGAGCGCGAAATGCTACTTTGGTGATCGAGATCTGATTTTTTTTACGAGGCGTAGCCGAGTTAAAAAAATAGTCGAGATGACCAAAGTATTTCGCGCTCGAGTTGCAAACAAAATTTTTTCTACAAACGTCAAAAAATATAGTTCTTAAGTAAAAATATGCCTAGCTTGATATAAAAAATAGTGTTGAACGGGCTTAAAAGGTCTCCCCCTATCCTCCCTAGGTACGCACGATGTTCCACGAACATAATAGGAATTTCCTTTCGTGCGCTCCAAGAGAAAAAACAAAGTTATTGTTGAACTTTCAGAAATAAATGATTTTGTGGATGTCTGCTCGATTGAGGACCATGAAGTTGAAATATAAATATCTCATATATTTTACATAACAATGCGCGAAGTAGGTACTTCGTGCACTGTTTTACTTCGCGCATTGTTTTGTGCAAGGAATCACGGTAACGTAGGAAACTGAAAAAAAGTGTCGCTATTTTGGTATTTAATAATCATTGATTCAATAAATTTCTGTCTTTTTTTAACTTCCCTGTCATGGATTTGTATAGGTTTTTGAACACTTTGAATTTTAATAAATGTGTCGGTTTGAAACTCTTTCAATTTTTCAACAAAAACGAATAGGTTAGGATGTTCAGCATATATGGAGTTGCATTTGTTGTACGAGTGATGGTAGATGAATGTTCTGCTCAGATAATAGGTGGGAATAGTGACTTCAGAAATATAAGTATCTACTAAATAGTCGGCATATTTCACAACTCGGGGGTCTTGGGGCATATTTTTAGACAATTCAAGAGCAAAGCACTTACCTACTTCGGTCGGATCGAGATACATAAGTGCAAAAGTCAATTCTAACTATTTGCCTATTCACTTGCCTCATGCTTGTATTCCGGTACCAAACCACAAGTTTGAATTTTTCGGTACCATGCCTGAGACAAATGAAACCTACAACCAACAATTTCAGCATTAGGCCATGTGTTAAATATAGCAAGGTGTATGTTTTTTTTTATCGCTTGGAGCGCACGAAAGGAAATTCCTATAATGTTCAAAGAACATCGTGCGATCCTAGGGAGGATAGGGACAGGAGGTAGGTATTGGAATTTTTTTTGAACTTCTGAAGATTGTATGTTCCTTTCTCAAAATCTACAACTACCTCTATAATATTTAAATCAATTCCTTTTGACAAACAGGGTGGCTTTATATAGGTCACACGTACTTAAATCGTAATTAAATCTTCGGTGCCCGAATTGCAGTTTTCATAATCCCTCGAAACTGACCGCAAAGGGTACCTACCTGTTTGGTGCCCGATTTGCATGCGCCCCTCTCCCCACCAGTGAAAGATCATAATATCATATAAACTTTATTTCATTTTCGCATCTAATCTTCACAATCTGATACGTCCCCAGGACGCTCGAGTAAATCCCTATTTAGCCTCTTTGCTCCACTACTATCATGTTCATTGAAACTTTTTTTCCTATTTTCGATTGTAGAAGCCGCCTAATAATGGCACTCTGTATAATAGTTGACATTGAAAATTTTTGAAGCTTGTCAAAACACTTTTTTTGTCACTCGAAAGTATTCTCCCAACTGTTCGCAGAACAAAATTCAAAATGGTGAAAATGGGAATAAACGGTTTCGGGCGCATCGGTCGTCTGGTGCTGCGTGCTGCCCTGGAGCGCGGCGTGGAAGTGGTCGCTGTCAACGATCCCTTCCTCAACGTGGAATACATGGTGTACCTGTTCAAGTACGATTCCACCCACGGCAGGTACAAGGGCTGCGTCGCCGCAGACGGCACCAACTTGGTCGTCAACGGAGTCAAGATCGCCGTGTACTCCGAGAAAGACCCCAAGGTATTAATTTATTAGAGGCAGGGTTGGAATAAGTCATGAGTTTTATAAAAAAGTCAAAAAAGTCTGACTTTTTCAATCAATTCGGACTTTTTTGAATTAATTCATTTGAAAACAAATCAAATTTTATTTACTTGAACAAAATACAAGAACATCGAAAAAACTAAGTTTTTATTTCCGTTAAAAATCTCAAAGCGTGACAATAAAATTCTTAAAATATGCAATTTTTGCAATATAAACTGAGACTATTGAATGAATGAAAAATGATGTTTATGCAAATTATATTACTCATTCACAATCTTCATTACTAGAGTCTCAATAAAATGCAGCAACATCCATCGCGCGCCTACGGATTGGTGTCACCTTGGAAAGCAATTTTTCGATGCATTGCAAGAAATGAATCCGGACATATTTATTTATATTGTGGTAATTTGTATTACTGGTGCAATTCTAGTGGTGACATGTTAGATTTTCGGAATTTCACGCATCATTAGATACACATTGGATCTTACTTTTCTTGCCTTTCTCATGGTTTCTTCTACCCAACTCAAAACTCGGTGAGAGGTAATACACAGAATCTATGACAAAAAGACATTGCAAGCCAGTTTTTTCGATTTATTATTGAAAAGCCTACATATTATTTTTGCCGGAAATATGAATTGGAGCAATCAATTGCATGCAATAAAATATTGTAAACTGTAAAGCGGCTCTTAGAAAATTTTGTTTTCCGCGTGTGGTGCTTCACGGTTGTCAGTTGTCAGATGCCATCGGATATTTCATTTTAAACTAGTTTAAATTGAAGGTAATAATATTCCCATTTGATGAATTTTGAATTAATTCAAGACTTATTTGAAAAAAGTCATTTGAATTAATTCACGACTTATTTGAAAAAAGTCATTTGAATAAATTCACGAATTAAACCCTGATTAGAGGCACGTTGATGTGCGCGCAAAAAATATTCCATACGTTCACGTACAGGGTGATTTATTTATTTATTAATTCATGTATTCAATCAAGCAAAATCTACATTTTGTCATTGAATATCAATTACATGTACACAGGGTGTATATAAATAACACCGAAAACATTCAAGGGGTGATTCCTTGTGATATTTTAGGAAATAAAGTTCATATAAACGTGTGTCCTAGCTTGCTTTGTTTTTGATATGCAGGGTATTAATATTTCCATGAAAACGTGTTTTCTAATTCATTACTCAATTGTCTTTTCACCAATTTCAATTAAACGTTGTGGATTTGGTAATTATTGTAATACGGAGTTTCTTCTGGGGCAATTAGATTCGAAATAATATTTCCAGTGGCGTCATAGAGGGTAGATTTATTGATATTTATGGTGAATGTCATTGTACGCTACAGGTTTTTTTTTGAGGTTGATATTTTTATCAGATTGAACTATTGAAATAACAGCATTTTTATCCTCTGTTTGATTTTTGTATCTAGCTTAGTTTTTGAGGAAACAATATAACTTCGATTTGAATTTTAATGTAGTTGTTTTCAAGACTTCCATTGAGATTACTCAAAAACCCCAATTAGATTCATTTTGAAATTTTGAGGCCTTCTAAGTCTCCAACCATACTGAATCTTGGCACCATGAAAGCTTACACAAGGGGGTTATAAATGAAAACATTTAATTCTTCCAACTTCAACATCCTGTATCTCAAAAACGGAGCAAGTTAGGACACATGTTCATATGCACTTCATTTGTTCAGAAGTCACCTCTTGATTTTTTTCGGTTTTATTCAGATACATCCTGTATTTCCTTCCCTGTGTGTGACAGATGAATTATTTCACGTATAAAATTGTTTTTCCAAAATATAAATATTCAAACTGAAAACATAATTATAGTGAATTCATACAATAATGAGAATAAATTAAAATGAAGAAAAATATATATATTGAATATGGATTTCACGCCGTCAACGGTAAAATTGCACTTATCATGTGATGTTTTTTTTTTAATTTTTTTTGGTACTTATTGGAATTTGATAATAATGGGAACTAACCATTATTTATTAAGATATTTCACTATGAAGCTACACATTTCACCTACTTTTCCGTCTTTTGGATCGCATTTAGAACAATTTGATAAGTGCAATTTGACCCTTTCAACACTTAATATCACGAAAACCAAATGTGATATTGGACACTTCAAAACAAAATCGTGAATCAGAAGTAAGTAAGAACGAAATTTATGAAAGTGTGCAGACGGGTGCAATGACGTAAAATGCATCTAATGAGATTCATAATACCTCAGATATAGAACTAGCCATTCTATATGGTTGGTATACGTCTTCTTTAACTATTGCAACCATATTTTTCAGTCTTGACCATCGATTATGATATTATTTTCATATTCCGCTGATTTCTTTTCAAGCAAATCCCATGGGGTAAACATGGCGCCGACTACGTAGTCGAATCCACTGGTGTATTCACCACCATTGATAAGGCATCCGCCCATTTGGAGGGAGGCGCCAAGAAAGTCATTATTTCTGCCCCATCTGCTGACGCTCCAATGTATGTCGTCGGTGTCAATCTTGATGCTTACAACCCATCTGATAAAGTGAGTATTATTTTAATCATTTTCTGACATTTTTTTACATGATACCTAACATTTAGCCATGATAATAATGATAAAAATGATGAATGAATATTGAGTACAAATACAAATTGATATCTAGTAGGTCATCAACCAAGGTCCTTCAAGCATCCAGCCAATTTATTGTTATTTATTAGATCCAGAAATAGTTCCATTATAAGGTTTACATATTTACTTGCACTAGTATGCAATAAATACTCTGATTCTCTACTGATTGTGAGTTTAATATGAACTGTTTTTATTCATTTTTTTTGTAATTTGAGTACATAAGAAGACGGTTATGATAGATGCTTAGGTACCAATAATTATTCCTCAAAACGTTACTGGTTGATATATTAAAGAATTACTGACACTGATGTGAACAGTGAAGAAACAATTATAGGCCTGTAGTGGCATAGCAAAAGTTTTTTTCAGTAGTTGGTACACATAACATTCTTTAGGACTTAGGTGGTCTCGAACGCTTCATACACTATCAACTTCCTGGAGCCGCTCGCCAAGGTTGTCCACGACAACCTTGAGATTGTCAAAGGGCTGATAACCACCGTCTATGCGAACGACATTCACTGAAACAGGGTGAATTGTTTCATAACATTTGTGCCAAACAGCATATTTTTAATTTTAAGATTTTGATTGAAACTTTTATACATGAAAATTGCTGACGTCTGATAATGGGCCTGAAGTGACATAGCAAGTAGTATGTCAGTGGTTATTGGTACACATAATATACTTTAGGTGATCTCGGACGCTTCGTGCACCACCAACTGCCTGGCACCGCTCGCCAAGGTCATCCACAATTTCGAGATCGTCGAAGGGCTGATGACGATAGTGCACTGCAATGTACTCTGTATATTGAAATTGCTGACGTCCAATAGAATAATTCGCCTGGAGTGGCATAGCAAGTAGTTTTTGTAGATAGTTGGTACACATGAAATTCTTTAGGTGATCTCGTACGCTTCGTCACCGAACATCAACTAAAGATAAGAAGAGTCACTCTCCGTTCTGCCGCGAATACCTCCCTCCTTTCCCTCCCTCCGATTCTGGAAGATCGGATACCAACGCATATACCGATTCACCGGCGAGAGCGCGCGAGAGTCGTTGTAGACGTGATATACCGAGTGTCTTGATGGTGAGCTATTGGGAATCGGTTCACGAATTGATTTCGGAAGTTCGTTTCAACTTTTAGAGTGCAAATTTTCATAATGCCGACGCATTGTTCTAATCATGACAAGCTAAAACAACACAAGCTTTGTCCTAAATTAACTAATGAACATTTGAATCCCAGTTATTTTCAAAAAATTAAGGTGAAATATGCCTCGCAAGTCTTCAGTTATTCTGTGGCTGCTGCTCTTTATACCTACGTAGATTTGGAAGTTTTACCACCAGAAGCAAAAGTTACTGCAAAATTCATAAAAATAATGAATGATTTATTCGATTTATTAAATTCCTGCCATTTAAATAATTTTAACGCATTCATGGGCACAGAGAAAAATTCCAATTTCTAGAAGAAATTGAAACTATGTTAAGCAATTTGAAAGTTATGAAGATTGTTGACAATCAAGAAATTTGTTTGAACAACAAATTGCATTTCATTTATGGATGGAAGTTAACAATCAAGTCGTTTTAAGCTTTATGTGAAACCTTGAAATCTAGAGGTTATAATTTTCTATTAACCAGAAACCTCAATCAGGATTGTATCGAGAACTATTTTGGCCAAGTTGGAAACTGTTGCGGCAATGCGAGAAATCCAACACCAATACAGTTTCCAAGAGCCTTCAGAAAATTATTTGCCTTAAAATTTTTTAATCAAGTCGACGGTGCAAACTGCTTAAACGATATGAATGAAGTTTTCATGAACATTAATCCCGATTTGCTAGAAAACTGCAATAAAATATCCATCCCATTATCACACAATCCCTTGAAGGTATTTACGAGCGATTACAAAAATTTGTCCAGTACTGGTGGTAATGCATTGGTGTATGTCACAGGCTATTTATTGAAAAAATGTTTGCTGCAACATTCATGTGATAGGTATATGTCTGGAATATAACAAACAAAATTCTTTAAAAAAGGAAGCGACCCGCTTTTTTGAGGCAAAAGCTTATAATACCAAAGGAATTGGTGGCTTGAATGTACCTCATGTAAATATTGTAGAATATGTCACACAATTAGAGAACATCTTCATTCGAAATTTCAATGAAATAGCTAACCTACAAAATATTGGTGCAACCCTCAAAGGTTTGTTTGAAAATATACAATTCACACATCCGTGTGAAAATTTTCCATTCGAGTATTTTGTATCTCTCTACACTAGAGTTCGTATTCATTTCACGATTAAATCTATAAATCGTGAAATTAAAGACTAAAAAATTGAAAAGCCAAATATAAAGTTATCTATATTGCAGAACCTATGATGATTCATCTCTTTATTCACCAAAACTATCGGATGTTCACCTGTGTCCTTTGTTATATTGGTAGATTTTGTTAGTTAATTTAGTTAGTGTCGAAGTCGTTTTTATTTTAACATTGTCTTTCTAGTCAACACGTTTTTTTTTCCTTTTGCTCATTCAGTTCCGTGATAATAATTGAGTTGAATAAAGTAATGATTTATCTGATTGCCTATTTTTTTGAACAATCCCTATATAAACGCTACCAGCTGAACATGAACGCCGCAAAATAAACAGTCCTCGTATACACAAAGCGACTCGCCGCTCAACTGAGGCACCGAAGAAGGGTGTCGGGCCGCCTTTGTTTTTGCTATTTCAAACAGTTTTAGCTAAGTGAGCCTTCTTATCTTTAGTTGATGTTCGGTGGCTTCGTGCACCACCAACTGCCTGGCACCGCTCGCCAAGGTCATCCACGACAATTTCGAGATCGTCGAAGGGCTGATGACGATAGTGCACTGCAATGTACTGTGTATATTAAAATTGCTGATGTCCAATAGAATAATACGTCTGGAGTGGCATACTGGCATAGCAAGTAGTTTTTGTAGATAGTTGGTACACATGAAATTCTTTAGGTGATCTCGTACGCTTTGTGCACCACCAACTGCCCGGCACCGCTCGCCAAGATCATCCACGACAATTTCGAGATCGTCGAAGGGCTGATGACGATAGTGCACTGCAATGTACTGTGTATATTAAAATTGCTGACGTCTAATAGAAATACGCCTGGAGTGGCATAGCAAGTAGTTTTTGTAGGTAGTTGTTACACATGAAATTCTTTAGGTTATCTCGAACGCTTCGTGCACCACCAACTGCCTGGCACCGCTCGCCAAGGTCATCCACGACAATTTCGAGATCGTCGAAGGGCTGATGACGACCGTGCACGCGACCACTGCTACCCAGAAGACAGTCGACGGCCCTTCGGGCAAGCTGTGGCGCGACGGTCGCGGCGCCGGCCAGAACATCATCCCTGCGGCGACGGGCGCCGCCAAGGCCGTCACCAAGGTTATCCCCTCTCTTGTCGGTGAGTGCAATAAAGATGATTATACATAGTGCTTTTCTAAAGTACGTTCGCCCCCCCCCCCCCCCTTTCTAATTTTCGAACCACCTTGTATATTGCAACAAAATTTGTTGGAGAGCTCAAATAGTAGATGTAAACCTACTTTTTCATGAAAAATTGACAGTTTAAAATGGCGGCTGAGTGTCATCTTGAATTATTTTTCAAATCGAACACCCCGTTTATCATACCATTTTCGAATTCTTCTCATAAATCTTAAGAATCTCAATGAATATAGTTTATCTAAAAACAATTGCAGCAGTCACTTCAAACGGAAGTTCGAACACGCCGGCGCCGCACAGTGCGGGATATTCAGCAATTGATATTGGATATACTATATACAGAGAAGTGCACAAAAACGGCGAGGACTGTAACTTTTGAATTATTCGAGATAGGGTTTTGAAAATTGGTGGGCAGCAAGTATACCAAATTGCTCATTAATTGACGAAACAATTTTTGTTATATCACTTCCGGTTTTACTGGAACCGACCCCAACTTTTGATTTTCAAATAGGACGCCCTTTATTGTATTCCATAATCGGTTAGGGATTGTCATATCGAATCGAATCATCGATACCGGGTTCGATAGGGTTATTTCAAACGATTACGCAGATATTCGCGTTCTAAGTTTCCATATGCTCAATGAGTGTGACAGAGAAAGAAGTTTTGATATTGCGAAATAAGTTTGTTTGGAAAAAAATTGTTGTCGCGGTGACATCTTTATTTCTTCAAAGCATACTTCATTGAAAGCAACATTCGAGTTTCTGGTTGGGTTTCAAATGACCGGAATGTGCCATTGCAAACTTTGATATTTCGAAAACTATTGAATTTATGATCAAAGAATATCATATGGAACCGTTGAGAATTATAAGATGTCATAAGAAAATAATTCAAGATGGCGCCGAGTTGCTTTTTTAGAACTTTGAGCTGTTCATTCATAAAAAATCTGGTTTTCATCTCCTATTTGAGCCCTCCAAATTTTATTGCATTATACCAGGATTACCAGATGGTTCAAAGATTAGTAGTGGGGAAACGAACCTAATTCGGGCAGAGTCTCAACTATTGAATGGGGAAAAACTACCAGTATATATAATTTTTTCATTCATACTAGGATAAAAAGAAGAAACTAAAATATGTTGATTTCGAAACACACACTTCTTGTGCTATTCGAAATGGTGTCAATTCATTGGTGTGGTTGGTGTGACGTATTATTCCCAACACGCCTATTATCCTTGAGCAACACTGCAACACTGCAGAATAGCATCATATCAAGGAGAGATAGGTACTGCACAGAGCATGGAAAATTAAAATAGTACGGTCAGGACGACTAACTAAACTCTGAAACTGTTTGATGAATAAAATATTATGAAAAATACAAGTCCGATTCTGGGACGGTATGTTCCATGTTGTGTAATCATCGTTTGAGAATGAAATGGTTCATCTACTCTGCAGATAAGGTAAACCCTTTCATCAACAACAAATGAATTTTCGTTCGATTCAAATACTGTCAATTGTAACCTTAGATCAGTAACACATTCACCGCTTGAAGCATAATTTTAAGAACGACGCTCTCAAATATATGCCTCCCCATAGGAGGAAATCAATCTTTGCACCCAAGATAGATAAATAGCTATTATTCTCCAACGATAATCACAAACGAACCATTTCAGAATCTGTCTAGTATTTTTTATATTTGATTTCAGAATTGTGTAAAATATTTAGATAGACCACTTCATTTGTCAAGGAGTTTGTGTCAGCTAATCTTTGTTTTCTCTTCCGTACTACTGAGGATGGCATCTTAGCTGCTGAAATACTCATTTCAGTTTCTTTAAATATCACATCATTTTATATTTCCTTTCATTTTCAACATGACAGTTATATGAATTTGCTGCACAATGAATCATCAATTGATGTTACATTTTTTCAAATTAATTATCGGAAATCATTTCGTAAGATACCGTAATATTAATTAATGAATTGAATGTAATGAAATGCTGAAATTATGGGTGGTTGAAAGAAGTATGTGTGACCAATTACAGGCAAACTCACCGGCATGGCGTTCCGTGTGCCGGTCGCCAACGTGTCCGTGGTCGACTTGACCGTCCGCCTGGGCAAGCCGGCCTCCTATGACGAGATCAAAAACAAGATCAAGGAGGCGTCCGAGGGCCCTCTGAAGGGCATCCTCGGCTACACCGAGGACGCCGTCGTCTCGTCCGACTTCATCGGGGACACGCACTCCTCCGTCTTCGATGCCACCGCCGGCATCCAACTCAACCCGGGATTCGTCAAACTCATTTCGTGGTACGACAACGAGTACGGGTACTCGAGCAGGGTGATCGACCTGATCAAGTTCTGCGCCACCAAAGATGTTTAGGCGTTTGCGAGAGAATGTATCTACATCTGTCTGTTGAAGTTGTGGCTCGGCCACGATATTTCCTTCCTTCATTAGGTATCGTAATCAAATTGGGAACTAGATAGTAGTTCTCTTTCTATCGATGGATTCGAACGTACTGTTTTTCGTGTATTTTTATTTATATATCCGGCGAGTTATGTCAAGAATTATTAGAGAACATTGAAGGAAATCTGTTTTTTGATTGCCTCGTCAAATTCCATTATCCCATCTTCCCGTTTCCAGTTTCCTCTCGAATTTTCTGCTGATAGCTGAGTCTTCAGTATGGTACTAAATATTGAAATGCTGCTGAAGATAATATGCACCATTTATCCAAATTCAGAAACAAGGAATTCCAGTATTTGGGAAACAATAGAAGAATAAATAAAATGACTAGGTAGTTACTCTAGTAGGGTCTTGAAATGGATTGAATTCTGCGTCATTGAGGGTACTTAGAGGTTTGTGGCATTTTCGAGAAGATGTAGCTCAGTCACGGTACTTTTTTAAATGAGTAAGGTAGTACAGATCTGACTTCGATGCCGCCATCGGCATTCAACTCAACCTGGGATTCGTCAAGCTCATTTCGTGGTACGACAACGAGTACGGGTACCCGAGCAGGGTGATCGACCTTATCAAGTTCTGCGCCACCAAAGATGCTCAGGCGTTTTCGATAAAATGTATCTACATCTGTTAGTTGAAGTTGTGGCTCGGCCACGATGCTTCCCTTCTGCCTTCCTTCATTATATAGGTACTGTAACCAAAATGGGAACTAGATAGTAGTTGAACATCTTAAAATGCTTCAAATGATGATTTTCTAGAAAGTATCGACCACACCCAATGTCAAATTGATATCTCTAGAAGTGAGCGAGATATTTCAATTGATAAAAAAATATAATTCAATTTTGACCACTTGTAGCTCCACTAATGATCGAATAGGATCCATGTTCATACAAACTTATTTTTATTAATATGATCTATCACCCATTTCAGTTTGTACCTTGTGAGAATTATTATATAGAGATCATTGAAGGAAATCTGTTTTGATTGCCTCGTCAAATCCATCTTCCTGTTTCCAGTTTCCTCTTGAATTTACTCTGCTGATAGCTGAGTTTTCAGTATGGTAGGTATTGGAATGCTGCTGAATGCGCCATTTATGCAAATTAAGAAACAAGGAATTCCAGTATTAGGGAAACAGTAGAAGAATAAATAGAATCACTACTTGAGTAGGGTCTTGAATTTGATCAAATTCTGCGTTGTCAAAGATGCTTTGGATTGTGGTATTTTCGTGTTTTGAATGTAGCTCGGTCGCCTCCTTTCATTAAGTATATTAAATGGGAACTTTGAGGTAGTAGTTCTTCGAGATAAAGTGTTTGCAATTTACATCTTGTTGAAGAAGTCACTTGGTAGTCATGATTCTTCCTTCCTTTATTAGATGTAATAACAATGGGAATTAGGTAGAAGTTCTCATTCTATTGATTGATTCGAACATACTGATTTTCTTGTATTCTTATTTATGTATCCGATGAGTAATGTCAAAAATTGAAGAAAATTGAAAGAAATCTGATTTTTTATTGTCAAATCGTCGCGTTGCCAGTTTCCTATTGAATTTAAAATTCAGGGACGAGGAATTCCAGTATTGGGAAGACAATAAATAGATATGACTACTCTAGTAGGGTGTTGCATTTGATCAAATTCTAAGTCATCGAATTTGGCTAGGTTTGTGGCATTTTCGAGATGTACTTACAACATTCAAGGAAATCTATTTTTTGAATGCTTCAATCTCCTGCTGAAGAACTTCACGTGTTGGTTATGAGAAACAAACTATTTCCAACAGGTTGATTGACATGAATATATTCTGCGCCATCAAAGATGCTTAGATTTGTGGCATTTTCGAGAGGATGTAACTATATCATGTGTCGAGATTGCGGCTTGGCCACGCGACGATTCCTTTTCCTTTCATCAAGTGTAGAGTGTAGTGTAGTTCTCATTCAATTGATGAATTGAAACGTAGATACTGTTTTCTTGATTTTTATTCATATATTCGGCAAGCTATGCCAGAAGTTGAAGAACCTTTGACGAAATCAGTCTTTTGATTGCTTCGGAATGTAGCTATAGCGAGAGAAAGAAAGGGGACGAGAAATAAAGGAAGCAGCAATGCACTCCATATTGTTGCAAGAGATAGCTAAAAAATTCTCAAAGAATCACAATGGCGCCCAACGCCAACACTGATGATAAATCTTATCAAAGTCTGCGATGATTTCAAATATGCCTACATCTTGTTTACTAATTTCGAGGGATTGAAGTTTTCATAGGTACTTTTTCCAAATTTAACAATAAATATATTAGCGGCAGCATCATAGTGATGAGGTGAAACCTTCATATCTCAGTGGCAATGAAAATATCTTATTTATAATGTACCATTTTTAAACAAAAACGAAATATTTCTTTCAGATACAGTTATTAAAAAGCCGACTATCCAATCGAAACTGAATAACTTTATTTTATAGGAAAATTAACCGGCATGGCTTTCAGAGTTCCTACCCCAGATGTATCAGTAGTCGACCTAACAGTGCGTTTGGGAAAAGAAGTCACATATGACGAGATAAAAGAGAAAGTGAAAGAAGTTTCCAAAACGTCCATGAAGGGCATCATCGGCTACACAGACGAACAAGTCGTTTCTTCCGATTTCATCGGAGACACTCATTCCTGCATCTTCGATGCGCTAGCTGGTATCGCCCTATCGAAAACCTTCGTGAAGCTGATCGCTTGGTACGACAATGAGTTTGGGTATTCTTGCAGAGTGGTGGATTTGATTAAAGCAATAGCTGTGAAAGATGGAGCGTCTTAACAATTTTTAGGGTCATGAAACTTCTGCGATGTCACTTATTCAACATTACACTCAACAAAATCTGGCAGATGTTGAGTGGCGTCAAAATTATAGTACCTGGTAAACTTGTGACTTTTATTATTTTGGAATAAAGAAAATTATTGTTTGAAAATTGGTATTACAGGAAATTAATTATAGCATACGACACACAATGCCAAGTATGACCGATATATTGCCGCGCGTGGCAGCACTAGTGTGATTGGAGGTCATCTGTCATCTACACTTGTCTACACATAGGTTATAGTGACCTGTGTGTGAAAGAGATGAAGTATTTCACGTATAAAATTGTTTTTCCATAATATAAATACTTTAACTGAAAAAAAAAGATCAATTCATACAATAATGAGAATAAATTGAGATAAAGAAAAATAGAGTTGATTAAAAAAGATCATCGATTTTTTTCGCATTTTCAATAAGCCAACTTTCAACTTCTTTTTTGAGAATTATGATATTTAGGCGTTCTAATTTTGATGGTATTCTATTATAAATTTTAGATCCAATAAAACTAGAATGTTTTTCTAAAATTCTACGCTTATGTTTTTCAAGTCGTACATTGTTGATTTTATTTCTTGTATCATAACTATGGTTGATTTCATTGGTAATTGCCGGATTCTTTTCAATAAAGATTATTGGCGCCTTATAGAATAAAAATGAAAATTAAATAAAATGACACCTAGACAGATAGTGAGAATGATATACCTGATGCATTCTCTGCTTATTCCAGTCGTTCTCGAGGAACACAGACACGAGAATATTAACCAAATGTCGCTAATGAATTCCGTTCTTGCGGATACTCAATAGTACATTATAAACCAAGAGATCAAAGTGGTATTTTAAATCCCGACAAAAAGTTTATAGATTTACAGTAGGTACCACTTTTTTCCCCGAAAAGTGGGATTTAAAAGTAAACCCTTTAAATCCATTACTTGCCACTAACCAAAATATGTATAGTTGCTTTACAAATGTTCCATGTTTCATAACAGAGATATTCCAATCAGACTCATAGAAAAGATGAATGTCCACCTCAAATAAAATTACAGATTCACTTCATCATATTTGATTCAGCAGTTCTATTACTGCTATATTTAATAATCTTGGAACTTCTGTTGTTCCTGGGAAACGCATAATCACCTTTATGCCTAGTGTGGCTATTTTCATAACAGTTGAACTGATGCGACTGTTTCATAAGAAATTTTATAGTTTCCAATACATACACAGCAGGAACCGTGAGAATATTATGGGCCTTCGAAGATTCCGCGACATGATTCTCTAACATTCATATCAAACATTACTCGGATTGCCTTTTTTTGGCTTACAAAAATTCTATCTCCCGACTGCCACCTCATATGGCAATCCCAAACTTGAAGGACGAATAAAATTTGCATAGCTCTATGTCCCAGAAATAATTTTGGACACCCTGTATAATATGTCATTAATGATATCAAAAAAATGTTGACGGTGGCACTGTTAGGTACTTTGCTCGACAAAAATATAAATGTGAGAAATTGTCGGTCCTTTGGGCCCCCATGAGGATGAGGCGGCTGAGCACGGGCTTCGTGCTCCCTTATGGTTAGGACGGTATTGCATACACTCTGAATTGTGACTCCCTAACCGAATTCGGCCTGACATGTTCTGTGACTGTAAGTCACGTTTTGGGATGTTTTTGATCTTCATCAGTGACCTGCAAGTGTTTCGAACAACCATGTTGCCGTACAAATTTGGTGATAACTTTTCAGAGGTCGGACTGGAAACTTCCAGTTTTTTTTCCAAAAAGATATTCCCTTCAGAATTATTGTTTGTATCGTGTTAACTTTTGATTAGTCTCGAGGTTCATTTGCAAATAAATAATTTCTGATCTGAGGCATCTTATGCATTTTTAAGAAAAATAATCTGGTTGGGACATGGACTGTAGACTCCTGGGATAAAAATAAGTAGATTTTAGCAAACTTACCTTATTCAAAGTCGTTTCGTTGAGTTGGTACAAGGCGTTAAAAGTGCTCACCTCAGGTACTGAATAGTAACGCGAGAGATCTTGTAAAGCCCGCGAGGACCAGCAACATATCAGTTTGTTTACAATAAGAATACATTGTAGCCATGACCAATAAAAAGTCCGACTAATTAGATTAATTTTCAAAAATGCGCAGGATGCATCATATCAGAAATTATTTATTTGCAAATGAACCTCGAAACTTATCAAAAATTAACACGATACAAAAAATATTTCTGAAGAAAATATCTACCTGAAAAAAAAACTGGAAGTTTCCAGTCCAACCTCTGAAAAGTAATCGATTTCAGCCTACTCTTTTTATGAGCAAAATTATTTTTTCCCTAAAAAACTTCAACGCCTTGTACCAACTTAACGAGAAGATTTTGGATATAGGTAAGTTGGCCTAAATCAACTTGTTTTTATCCCAGGAGTCCACAGCCGAGCCATGTCCCAACCTTTAACAGACACCCTGTATAAGTATTAAATAAATGATTATGATGGGCCAGGTGGAGTGGAACCATTGTCTTCTGTGAATATGAATACTGTTGTTATTGGTCTTATTGTCTCATAAGGAGATTAGTACTTATAAATTTGGCATGTTATTTTTTTTTATCGCTTGGAGAGCACGTAAGGGAATCCCTATAATGTTAAAATATGAGGTGTATGACGTCATCGAGAGCTGGCGTTTTTGAAGGTGCCGATTTTTATTATTGGAAAAAGTCTTCATGATTTTAAATAATGAACGATTGCATCAAATACTAAACAGATGTAAATATTCGAAGAACGAATTGTTGGGATCGAAATAAGACTTTTTCTTCATATAAACATGTGTCCTAAAATGTACCCCATTTTGGCCAATAAAAGTGAGGACACCCCCTTCGAAACCCCCAGAACTGGGTTTATATTTTTTCTAACACGAAGAAAATGAAGTGTTAGAGACAGAGGCATGTCAATTTTCAGAATATTTGATCCATTATTTTAGTCGCAATTTCAGGTAATCTTTTTTCTTTACCAAACATCCAGCGGCATCAGTAGCTTGGAGGGGCTGGATTTTAGGACACATGTTTATATGATCAAAGTCATATTTTGATACCAACAATATGCTCTCAAAATATTCACATCGAATTTTGAATCACCCTAGATATACTCGGAATGATCAATATAAAAAAAGGTATGTGGCGTGAATTCGACTAGTGTGTACTGTTGTACGGTTGTTAAATCAATGGAAATCGATAAAATCGCAAAAAAACATTTTGGAGCGAGATTTTTGACGTTTAAAATTGCTGCCAATTGACTATGTAGGAGAGTTTTGACACATTATTCAGAACACCAATATACAGGGTGTTTCAGATTTGTGGTGACAAAAGCCTAGGGGAGATACCTCTTAACCAAATATGAAGAAAAGTTCATATGAACATGGGTCCAAAAACCCTTCGTTTTGAGTCCAAGGTGAAAAAAAGTATTTCATTATATTTAAAACGCTTTCTAAGCTGATTTGAATAAAATGTTTATGGTCCATTGAATTGGATCCATTATTTTCCAGGGGCGTATCCATCGAGCAAGTATCGGCTTTTACAAAGTCACCCTGTTTTTTTTTTCTGGTCCTTCTTAAAAAGTCACAAGAACCCCCTAAAATTACAACATTTTTGTCTCTTGCTATTTCTTTGTATCTTGCTTAGTTTTCGATAGGGTCCCTTGATGGAAATTGACGTTAAAGTCATCTTAACAGGGTACGGACAGATCCTCGCCTCCTCTCACTCTAAAGTGTTTGTGAAACAGTTATATAGTATAGTTCTATCCTTATTCAATTCTGGGGATAAAAACTAGATTTTTGACATTCGTTGTTTTTTAGGTTATATTGAGGTCATTGGCGTATCATACGTAATTTCCATATGGAATATTCAACTATACCAAGATATAGATGAACAATCCTCTAGTTCTAGAGTTTACTACTCCAGCATAATCTTTGCGAGGTAGGGAACATATAAATTGTACTGAAAGCTCAGTATATTCCACCAAAAGAGACTGTTGTATACCAGGGTTGACTGAATTGACTAAATGAATTCTGATTTCAAGCTGAGCAGAAGTTTATCTATGAGCTGAATGAGCTGATGGGGTGGAAACCTCAATGTGGGGGTATCTGAACTACTGTACTCATGTCATGTTTGCTAAATATATTTTCGGAAATCCAATTCGGATAAGAATTTATGGTGTGACTAATAATTATAAAACTTCGTCTGGGACGAAAAGTAGGCTGATAAAAAGTAATACGTAAAATGTGCAGGAAAATAAAGAATAGTTTATACTTTATCCTCATGTTATACATATGATTTTTTCCGTCTCCCTGAAATAAAAAGTAATTTTCGAATAATGTATATTGATGAAACTAACAAAGAGGTAGGTATACGCATATAACTTATAGGCATGTTATTTTCACTCTTGCATCCTACATATTTTCTATTTATAGTAATAGTTACATAAACTAATGTCTTCCGCCATATTGGATCCGTCATCTTGAATTTTCAAATTTTGACGAAACAATCATTATCTCCTACCCCGAAAACCCCCAGATACCAATTTTGAAAGAATCGGATCTTCATTACAAAACTCGTCAGCCATATTGGATTCACTATCTTGAATTTCCCAATTTTGACAAAAAATCATGAAGTTCGACCACGAAAACCCTCAGATACCAATCTTAAATAGAATCAGATCATAATTAGAAATTTCTTCCGCTATATATTGGATCCGTCATCTCGAATTTTCCAAGTTTGACGAAACAATCATTATCTCCAACCCAAGAAAACCCCAGATACCTTCCAATTTTGAATAGAATCAGATCACAATTACAAAACTCGTTCGCCATATGATCTTCCTCAAGAAGTTAATACCCTGTACATACCTATTATTGAAATTTTGAATGATTTTCTGTTGCGCCCATGGTTGTGACGTGACAGCAATGTCAGGGATGCCAGTAGACAAAACCAAAGTCTCTAGATCATTAAAAAAGAATGCAGATATGATCTGTCCGTACCCTGTTAAGATGACTTCAACGTCAATTTCCATCAAGGGGCCCTAGTTTTCGAGAAAAACGGACAATATCATCTCTGAACAAAAATAAATTGAACATAATTATTTATCAAAACATATATATAGAATCCAATATCCTCTTCAAATTTTGTGAGAAATATTTTCTGACAATGAAAAACGCATTTCTTCATATTTTGTTGAGAGGAATCTCCTAGACTTTTGTCACCACAATTCTGAAACACCCTATATATCTGAAACCACACTAAATACCTCAGGATAAAATTATTTCATATCAAGACACAATTGTCTACTAATATCAGTGGACTATAATATGATGGCATAAAAAACTTACTCGTGGACACAACATGAAAAATCACGGTTTGAATGGCATGATGGTGAAACAAGAATAACTCGCAAATTTCTCTCCTCCTCTGTTGAAAGGATTACGAGCCGCCACTGCTTCGCATATTGATGATTTTATAGCTGGTACATTACAAGATCACTGTACTTTTCATGTATATTTTTTAATTAAGTATAACAAATTTCAAAGGTTTGAACTGGAATTTTCTTCATCGTAGATGGAAAAAAATGTGTCATTGCTTCAATGACTCAAGTTGCATAAGAAATAATCCTGTCCAACTTATGAAAAAATACAAAAATAAATCAAAACAGTCATTATCAAAATATCTTGAAATCACAAAAACATAAAAATAAAATATATCATAAAAAAACTAAATAAAAAATGTCAACCATATTAGGTGAAAATATCCTGAAAACTCAGTAATTTTTTTCTCGGTTCCTCTTCAGTTCTTTTAGCCTAGCTAAAATAACCTTCCCAACATCGTAGTATCGAGTTTGGCCATCTTCATCTTGGTATGAATCTGGAAAGTTTTATTTGACAAAAAAAAATCTCCCGGAAGTGACATTCAGAGATGTTTAGGTACACAAAATCTACAACTTAATGGAAAATACCACTTCCCAATTTCAAATTAATAAATCATAATGAAATAAATAATGTCATAGTCTCATGATATAATAGATGGACGATCATGTGAAAATATTGAACATTTTCAAGAAACTTTATATCCAGGTCTTCAGCAGCTTGACATCTGTTGCTACTGAAATTTACTGTACTTCAATGCCAAACAAGAAAATAAATGTCTGTATATTTTAGAAGTTGAGTGAATAAAAAATAGTATCTCACTGTTACGATATTCGAGTAAAGAACTTATCTATTCTTAATATTGGGATTTCTAGAACTATAAACAGGATGACTCCAAATTGGAGCAATATAATATACAGGATGGGCCACCAGTAACGCCTCGGTCTCTAGAAGGCTAACCACTTATCTTCTTGGAATTCTTCCTCTCTAGGAAGTTGCATGCCAACATAGGCTACCATTTGAAATTATTTTGAAACATACAGGATGTCCCCAAAAATCACAAAACACTGAAGTTGAACTTTTTTCTATCGAACACCCAATATATTATTTCATTTTGGGATTCTTCCTGATGAGCTGATTTCAACGACCCATCATACTTGAGGTCTAGCAGTTATAATTACTGAGATATAGGGTGTGAGAAATCGAGATTTTCCAAGTTCAAGAATTTTTTGTGTCTAAACCATTCATAATTGGTCAAAACGGTTCACATGTCCGCATGTCCCTATCTCAACTTTTGATCATTGACATTTAATTGAAACAAATACAGGGTGGTGCAGAAATCAGAATTTTGATCACCCGGTATATTTCCCAATTAAATATCAGTAGATAGTTAATCAAAAGTTGAGATAGGGACATCTAAGCCGTTTTGACCAATTATGAATAGTTTCGACACAAAAAATTCTTGAACTTGGAAAATCTCGATTTTTCACACCCTATATTTCAGTAATTCTAATTACAACTGCTAGACCTCAAGTATGATGGGTCGTTGAAATCAGCTCATCAGGAAGAATCCCAAAATGAAATAATATATTGGGTGTTCGATAGAAAAAAGTTCAACTTCAGTGTTTTGTGATTTTTGGGGACATCCTGTATGTTTCAAAATAATTTCAAATGGTAGCCTATGTTGACATGCAACTTCCTAGAAAGGAAGAATTCCAAGAAGATAAGTGGTTAGCCTTCTAGAGACCGAGGCGTTACTGGTGGCCCACCCTGTATACATTGGGGTGACAGGACAATTCACAAAGTTATTGTTGATGAATATTTTCAACGGTAATATTTTAAAATTTGATTTATAGAAAAAATGGTGAAGATGACATCAACAAGAAAATCAACAAAAATTTGAAATAAGAGCTTCTATAGTTCACAATTTTTCGAAAAATTGCAAAAATTTTCAGTTGTGGCGATCCCTTGCATTGCAGGCAATATTTGAGTCCGGACCTATTTTCACGGTTTCTTCTACCTAAATGTAAACTTAATGAGAAGCAGAACACAGAGTTTTTGACAAACAGACATTGCAAGCTGGACAGTCTGATTGACACAGATTTCTGATTGAGTGTAAAATAGCCTGCATATGGTTATTGTCACAAATATAAATTGCAGCAATCAATTGCATGCAATGAAAAATTAGAAACTGAGGCGACTCTCAAGTCAATGAAACTAAAACAAGTAGCATAATAAATATGACATGCTCTAGAGTAGATACCTAGTTTGAAAAACATCACAAAAATGACTATTACCTAGGGTGACCAGTCATAGTCTTTTTTCAGTAGGTAGTAAGTACTCTTTGTCGAAGTCCCGTTTAGACGGTTTATATATAAAATTTGATGGTAGGAAAATGAGGAATATGAACAGATTGAGAAAAGATCAGGAAATAAAGAAATTTGTTTCATCACTCGTAAACCGATGTCATCCGATGTCCTCTGCATTCTGCATGATTCTTTCGATATCGGGAATTCATACACACGAATTAACTTAGCCCTAACTCAAGAATTAGCGAAGGCGATTGGTGGATAAAGAATTGTTATCTGAAATCAACCAATAATCCCTCTTTATTCTCAAGTTGAGACCATATTGTATGTATGAAGGTGTACCTGATTTGTTTTGTAACTGTTTAGTTACTAAAATCAATGAACATGTTTTTTTTAATTTCAATTATTTGACTCATGAAACGTGATATTGATAAAATAGGCAGTTGTTTCAAATTTCAGAATATTGAAAAAAATCGCCTGTGGCGCTTTTTCACTTATTATCATACTCAATACTAAATGTACTATTTTTTCATTTTCAAAATCTGGTCACCCCACAGTATTACCCCTCCTAGAAATTCACCTTGTTCTGACCTCGCAGAAAGCAAACGTTTGGGTATGGCTATTAACTTGATCTATAATATCCAAAAGTTTCATTTCATTTCGTTCTTTCGTTCATTACCCATTTTATTCATCTCCTCAATTTCGAAAACAACCTGTATATCCATTTAATACTATTTTACTTACCCTCAAAATAAATTAGTTCACAAAACTCGCTTAGTCCATTACTCTCAAGTACAGTTTTCAATGTCAAATAGAACTGCAGAATTATGTCCTTTTTGTGTTTTTTATAAAACTCTGGAACAAGATAATATGACAATCACAGGGTACATATAGCCAAACAATATTTAAAAAAATACTCATGCCAGTATTTATTTGAAACATTTTTCCACCAATATTAGCCAATCAGACAAACATTTGACTGATAAGTGCCCCGGTGAATTGTCACTGTTGAAAAATTGAGTCACCATGGTAATGACATATAGTTTGACGTTAACTCAATAAAATTTTTAAAATGTCAGTCACACTTGAAAAAAATGTTCTTACTGAATATCCCTCGACTATTGATAAATTCTCATAATTTGTCATAACTTTCCTCAAGCGAATTGCTTTTAGGTAACAGCCCTCCGGCTTTGACAAATTATTTTGAAATCAATAGCCTTGGGATATTATAAGTGATAATTAAATTGGTAATATGGTGCTTAATGTGGAAGATTTTATTTATATCAGTTGATTCCATGATCAGGAATTTCAACTCATTATTGAAAATTAATTAGAATCGATTGAAAAATCAAAGTTCCTACTACTTTCCGATAAAAGTAGCAACACCGCATTGTCGAAAATAGTTCAGTTGTTCAGCGAAAGTATGCTATGCATCAAATTTCAAAAGTAATCCGTAGTCTAGTTCATTAGAAACGTCTAATGTGCCAATGTGTCATCCACCGTTAATCAACCTTTCTATAATAATTAGCATGTTGACATTTCTATTACTGTACAGTGCGGCCCAAATAAATTGTAACGACTCTTGGTCGAATTCAAATATTTTTGTCTAAGCACATGTATTTTTCATAGCCTAGAATCAAACTATGTTTCCCTCATCAGCATTTTATGACCTGCTTCGCTGTAAAGGTATTATAGGGTGTCCTCAGAGGTGTTATAATTATTCGAACGTGAAAAACAACAATGACATGGTTCTTCTTTGGCAACTATGAAAGAAATTAATAGGAATTGATCTGAACTACTTTACTATTAGACTGGCCGGTAGTGAAAAATATTTTGGAATGCTTTTTCAATGTATACAACTTTCAAGTAATGATTTTCACGGGTTTTCAAGTTGTCCTAGCCTAGACAAATACTGTCTGTATGTTATTCGAGGAGGTGGTAGATTCATTTTACTTGATTCTGGGATTTTCTCTCCTCGTTTCTATAAAATAAAAGTATTCGTATTATTTCAATATACAGTGTGTCCCACTTACCATGCTCACTATGGGTATCTTTTTAACGGTGAGAGATACGAGGTCGGTTAAATGACACCAAATGTGGAGTTTGTCAAGGCCAACTATAATGTGAAGAAATATTTTGATAAAATCTATTCGTTTTTGTTTTATACGCAAAAAACAGATTTTGATTATTTTCATGTCTCCTCCATAACTTCTTTATTTATGAAAATATTCAAATAGGAATTTCACATTCTCATGGCAGTTTTTCAAAGTGATTTCGAAAAAAATATGAAATTTATACCAACTCTTCTAGAATTTGAGATATCAGCACCAACTTTAGTTTTTCAAATGTAGGTCATAGTTCACTACGACTTAGTTACAAATAACTTTTTTTTCTCTCACAGATGATATGTCGCAGTAATAGTTTTGTGTTGATAACAACGGAGTTATCGTCATTTATACAAAAACAAAAAATTATTTGGAAGCCGCCATCTTTAATTTATAAATTTTAACAAAAAACTCATGATCTCCGACCTCAAAAAACCCCACTTACCAATGTTGAATGGAATCGGACCAAATCTTGTCCGCCATCTTGGAGCAGCCATTTTTTTAAAATTTCTGTCTGTAATCAAATGTTGCAAGTGAATTTTGACTCACTTCTGGCCGTCCTATCAAGTTGAAATTTGGCAGATGTTCGTAAATCCGGTGACAATACATTATGGCATTTTTGTTGAAATTAAATTAAAAAAAGTGGGGGTTTTTGAGGTCGAAGATCATGATTTTTTTGTTAAAATTTATAAATTCAAGATGGCGGCTCACGAATAATTTTTTGTTTTTGTATAAATGACGATAACTCCGTTGTTATCAACACAAAACTATACTGCGACATCATCTGTAAGAGAAAAAAAAGTTATTTGTAACTAAGTCATAGTGAGCTATGACCTACATTTGAAAAACTAAAGTTGGTGCTGATATCTCAAATTCTAGAAGAGTTGGTATAAATTTCATATTTTTTTCGAAATCACTTTGAAAAACTGCCATGAGAATGTGAAATTCCTATTTCAACATTTTCACAAATAAAAAAGTTATGGAGGAGACATGAAAATGATCAAAATCTGTTTTTTGCGTATAAAACAAAAACGAATAGATTTTATCAAAATATTTTTTCACATTATAGTTGGGCTTGACCGTTACCACTTGGTGTCATTTAACCGACCTTGTATCTCTCACCGTTAGCAAGATACCCATGGTGAGCATGGTAAGTGGGACACACTGTATTTGTAGAGGGACAAATCAGATGATTTGCCCCAAAATGTCACTGCGTTTAACAAATTTTTTTTATCAGGGAGTGTAAAAGAAAAATCCAGTAGCTTGTCACTGAAAGAATCAAGTAAAATTGTCCTAGACAATTATCAATTTATTCTCGCATGCAGCGTCGTCACCAATCAAAATCGAATTTGCAAAAAAACTCAAGATTTCGAATGATTAGTAAATGCATGAAATTATATATAGTTATGAAATTATATGAATATCACAAAACGAAAGAGACTGATGAATAAGATGAAAATTGAATTATAATTCTTACTTCCTGTCCTACAAAAGGAAAATATCAATCTAGCACTGTGAATATCAACCCCAAATCTAAAAAATATTCAGAGACACACCTGACTATCTCGTACCACGATAACAAATGCTAGTGAAACATCCAGCGGTTGAAATAAATATTAGTCCGGGTGCATAACCCGAATTTTCAAAGAGATTTTCACAGGAGTCGTTACGTTTAATTTGGACCGCACTATACAAGGTGGTACATACTACTGTTGATCAGAATCAATAGAACTTTTTTTTGTACACCACTGTGTAGATTTTGAAACATTTCTCAATTGGGTTGTTCCGTTACCACCGATACAACAAGGCCAGCAGACTCTGACGTAAACAGCTCGTGACGTCTCCAAGAGAGGCCAGTGTTTTATTTTATCGATTCTCGACTAACGCGTCAGTTCGTGTTAATTCATCGGTGATTCACGTATGTTTTTGAAACAGTCCCGAATTCTTTTGTTGTTTATTCATCAAAATAATTGGCGGAAAAATGACTGTTTTGTGAAATATTTTGTGTTGTGATCGGCGAAATAACAATGCCTTTCAAGTGTTGTGTCCCCTTTTGTCGAGGGAATTATGTGTTTACTACCTTTTCCTGACTGATATTGCCCTCACCTGAATTCTCACCTGGATGGACAAAATCGATTATTCGCTCACCTGGACGTTCGACGTTGACTGGCATACCTGGACGTTCAACAATATTTGGCAAACCGAGCAGTCCTGCGTCGTTGGCAGCTATACTTGAACGATTTCCACTGTCTGGGTTATCTAGGTCATCACAGAAGTCTCGATGTTCCACTTGTGCTTGCGTACCTGGACGTTCAGCAGCATAGTACTGGATACTCTGACGTCTTCCTTCAACATATGCAGCTTCTTCTTGTCTTTGAAAATTGTCTTGTTGGTTCACCCATTCTTGTACTCTGGGTAAACCCTGGTCCCCAATAGACTCCGCTCGTTGACTCTGATTATTCTCTTCACGATCTAGGATTTCAGCTTCTTGTATTTCGTGCTCTAGCTGAAGCAATCGTAGCTGACTATTCAGTTTCACTTTTTCCATTTCAATCTCTTGGCGCCTCTTTTCTGTTTCATAGTTTAGTTTCTTCTGGAGGACTCTGGCACTAACATTGGATTTAGTACTCACAGCGGACTTAGTTCTTGTAGATTTGGCTTTGTTAGAGGTTTCCTTTCTGATGGTGGAATGGGTTTCATTTACTTGAGAGGCCACCGCACCAATACCTCTTCCAAATCTATCAGGCCATTCGAATTCCGCTGGTAAGCTTATTATTCCTGCTCCTATCCTTTTGTTTCGTTCACCAGCATCCATATCCGGCTCGAAGGACCACAATGTAACGGCTTGTTACAGACTTAATTGAATTACAATACTTTATCGCAAATCGTAACTTTATTATTCTGATATTTTTCTGACATATTACAATATTATTTTATTGACATCATCATTCTCAAATGTTTCCCCCGGTAAATCGAACATTCACAAAATATACAGGGGATAACGACAACAAGTATATACAGGGAATAAACGCCGGAACAATGTGGGTGGTTCAAAAGTTCATGCTTTTAGTTTCCCGTTGGACGAGGAGCTATCGAAAATGTGGGTAGGTATATGCAATTCACCGCGAGGATTTTACTCCATCTAAGTTCAGTAGTAAACAGAGTTTAATTTATAATGATGAATTAATAATAGAGGACAATTACTCTCTCATAAAAAGTATAAGTAGAGGAAAAATAGAAAAGCTTTGATTGTGCAGTTAGTTTTGTATTCGTATATTATAGTCAACAAAATCATCTCTGAATTCGAGGAAATTTTCTTGAATGTTCATAATAAACGGGCATTTTTAATTCTCATTCTCAAATTTCTTTCTGAAAACGGTCATTTGCCTCGTGGCAATGAATGCAGAATTCATTCCAATGATCAAATTGCAACTATCATATTACAAAATTCTTAGGTCTTTATATTGATGAACAATTATCGTGGACTAAACATATAGATCACCTGAGAAAAAAGCTCAATCCAATTACTAGCATTTTATACAAAATTCGAAATTTCATTCCTCTTAGATACTTGAAGAATATATATTTCTGTCTGATTTACTCAAAATTACAATATTTAATATCAATTTGGGGAAGCACAAGTATATCACATTTGAAACCATTAATGAAATTACAAAATAAAACAATTAAGTGCATTTACAATTTACATTACCTGGAACCAACTATTAATCTTTACAAACCAAAAAATCTGTTGAATTTATCATCTTTATATAAAATGAAAATTTGTTCTTTCATCCATTTTGTGAGAAAAAAAATAAAAATATCCAACTTGAACTTTACTGAAGTAAATACAATTCATACTCATGCAACGAGACAGTTGAATTCATTAATAGCAAACCCATATAACTCCATCATTGGCAAACAATCAGTATTCTACAACGGAATCATTTTATATAATTCATTACCTTATGATTTGAAACATATTGATGATGAAACAAGATTCAAAGTCAATATGAAAAAATATATACTCATGACACAATAAACGGAGCAATTTATTCTCATTTGAATACTTGGAATGGTTTTATTTTAATTATTATGTTATATTGACATAACTTGTTAATTAGTTTTTTTTTTATTGTTTTATATATATATATATCATATGTTTATGTATCCCTATTATAAACAAATATGTTTCTTGGGGTAATAAAGAACAACAACAACAACATGAACTACAAACACTCTACTTAAAAAGGTAAAACTGCATTTATCATGATATTTATCATGAAGATATTTGACTAAAAAGTTCCAAATTTCACCTTCTTTTTCACCTGTCTTCTGGATGGCATTTAGAACAAATTTCCTTTATTTTTTCATCATATTGGACAATTTATATATAATTCAAGTATAAATATGATTTTCTTGAGATTAATCCATATTTAGTGAAAAGAAGGAAGAATATCATTCAAAATAATGGCGTGTGTAATGTCTTTCGAAAGCAATCTATTGACATTTGACATCTCGTATTTTGATTGACTATTGATTAAATGGTTGTCATCTGGAATGCTTGTTCACTAAATATGAAAAACTCGCCATAAAAATCATATTTCCTGTTGAATTTTCTATATAAAAATGTGCCATCGAAGTACATCATGAGTATATAAAATGTCCAATGACAAAATAAGAGCAAGTAGCTTCAAATGCCCCCAACACAAGGGGAGAAAGAAGGCGAAATTTCGAACTTTTTCTTGAAATATCTCAATAAATAGTGGTTTGTTCACATTTTCATTATAAAATTCGGTTTATCAGACAAAAATACGTGAGTACCGAAAAAAATTTTCAAAAAAAAAAACCATCGCATGATAAATGCAGTTTTACCCTTAAAAATTACGGTTTCAAGTGTAACGATCCACTTGGGTGAAAAATCCAACAACAGAAAATTGAAAACACTCTCTGGTTATTTTTTCAGGTAATAGGAATTCTCCAAGATAAATATAGGTAATTGTAACAAACGGCATGTCAATCAAAATAAAATACATTTTCCACAATTTTCTTTCGATCAATCTCACGATAAGTTCATGTTCTGCGGGCCCTGTATAAGTAGGTGTGAAGTTTACCTTCACCACAATTTTTGCCAATATATTTAATTCGAATGGGTTGCTGTATAGGTGGATATTTGTGTTTTATCCTGGTTTTTGCTATAAAACTTCGTTTTTCCATAATAAAATCGAATGGGGTGCGAAGAAGGGCTCAGTTGACGACTGGCATCCTTTTTTAACCGGAAGCCCTTCAAAAAACAGCAAAATCGGCTCAATGATGATCTAAAACTAAAATCGAAATACGCGGTCGCCTTACAGCGCTATAAGCACTTGTCATTTCCAGCCGCTGGTTAGGCCTGACTAAGTGACGTCACCCACGGAGCATGCAGGCCTTGTTGTATCGGTGGTAACGGTTGTTCAATCGTCTTCAGATAACATGTCGCACATGGACGGTGTCAGCTCTCTTAATCACTGCTACAATAAGAGCGCTCCAAGCCGTCCAACCGCGACATGTTCACTGAAGACGAGTGTACATACCCAATATATCTCATATTTTAATAGGTATTTTTCCATTCGATTTAGAATAGATGAACTATGCCCACTAACCTCATTACTCACCAGAATGATCGCCATTTTTCTCAAAAACATCCTTGAATGTCTTCAAAGGGGTAGCATATTCTGCAGATACATAAGTCTTCCTATTCTTGTCAGCGATAATTTTGTACACAGCATTTTTGTATACTCTGTTCTGGACACCAGCCACAGTTATCGTTTTTTCAGGAAGAGACTGAAATTGAGTAACCATCAGAAACACATGAAAAAATCTTTCTACCGACACTTACGCTACTTTCGTCAATAGATGGCGAATATTCATTCTTCAAACTAACAAAACATGTTAGTGATTTAGGAATTAAAATGAACAATTTGTAAATGGCAAATTTCACTTTATTCTTATCCTCATAGTCTTGCATTAGCTCTTTCAGATTTTTGTCTTCCATGCCAGTTTTTTTCAGCACCAAATTCAAATAACCATGAAAGAAAGAGTATGCCATTCCAGACCCATAGTCCAATCCATTATTTTCTTCTATCCAAAGAGAGTCTGTCAGAGAGCATGCATACTGAAAAAGATATTTAGATAGACTAGTTTGACTTAGATCAAAATATCCTAAAATCACCCAGACAATCAGAAAAGGACCCCGCACAAAAAACATGTAAAACTTGTAAATAGAAAATTGTTTTCAATATTTTTTCTAAACTCGAATATTTTTCAATAGATAATTAGAATTATAACAAGACTCATGTTTGTGAAATTAATATCATTTTTGGTATAGTCGGTCCCAAATCAATTGAAGCTTCTCCAGCAAAAAAACATATACTGCGCCCATCATCAGCCGAATCTTTTATAATCAAGGGCCGAATACAAGATTTTAGTTATGGAAATGAAAAAGTTGAAAAATGTCATTGTCTAAATTATAAAATTTTACAACTTTTTCATTTCCATAACTAAAATTCGTCTGATGATGGGCTTATATAAGCCCGAAACATGTAAATAAATGTTGTGGAGATGACTTCGGGTTTCTTCATCTATTCCTTAATTAGTCAACTATCGGTACTCTACACTACCAGGTAATAGACAGTTTTGAAGCTAGAGCCCAATTCTCCTTCACACATTCTGTGGAACTTCCAGTATAAAAATTATCAACAGCTCAATGATGCACTACTTGTAGATTCAGTGGTATTACTATTGAGATAAGCCACTCATTATAATTTACATAAGTATATTATATTGTATGAGGGAATCCCAGAAAATCATGGACTGGGAATTTATCAGTCTGGTATTGTTGGTTTACTTTCGATATGAGACGTGTTGAATGTAATCGAACTTATATTGATATAAATGATGAAATTGTGTGTTTTGACGATCATGAGTGAAATTGTGAGTATACTTAAAACTTCATAATTTTGATTGTGAACGGTGCTAGGTAGGTCTTCCTTTCAAAATTTTACAAGTATGTATACCGTTTTTGTAGTAATAATTTAGTCAGGTAACCGAAAGAAATATTAAATAAGAACGTTAATCAGTACCTACTCTTTAGAGGAAATCTACGACTCTTGCAAGAGGGTCATGACACTTCCAGCGTACCCGAATTTCAATAGAAACATACAGAAAAAATCTGAATCACTGGTCCATCTTGTGCTGAAGAGATATAATGAAAAAATAACTGTTCGTTCAGCAAGTTTCAGCCGATAATTCAGCTTTGTCTACTAGCACTTCAATTCAATAAGTTTGATGGGTATGTTTGATACCAATCTATGAAAAAATTATATAAAAAAGAAATAATAATTTTTGAAATATGTTCATTAAACTGAAAATGATTGTTTTTACTTTAACTTCGCTTTCAAATAAATTATTCGATGCATTTTGCACACAATCGAAATGATGCAGGTATATCACTATAGGACATGGATTGAAACTGCCGCTTCACACTAGTAAAACCACTACTTAACTGAGAATAATTATTCGGTTTGACAAAACAAAGAAGCAAAGGAAAAGATTCATCAGATACTACAAGGTGACACTAACAATTTCTTTTTCCAATTTCAACTTCAACGACAGCGATATGAAACTTTTTTTTTAAATGGCATTGTAGATTTTTTTCTGAATACAATGATGTATAACAAGTTGATATTCGCGCAAAATTAGTTTCAATGATCAATTTCTTTTAACGAAGGAGCATACATTTATTTCAACTTATTTTGCGCGAAAGTCAACTTTTTATACATAATTGTATTCAGAAAAAAAATTCAAAAATGCCAATGCCAATGAAAAAAGAGTTGACAATCGCTGTCGTTAGAGTTGAAATTAGTAAAAAAACTAGTTTTTGCCACCTTGTAGTATCTGATGAAGCATTTCTTTTGTTTTTTTGCTTTCCATAATCGGATAGTTAGCCTTGTAGGTAAAAAGGGGTATAAGTCAAGTTTTGAACTGTTGCAGATGGATTATAACGGGAGCCTAAATCTCGACGTATTTTAAACATCATTAGTCACAATAAATCACGTGATTCGATTTGGGATTCGTCGTGTTATTTGATAATTTTTGTTTCACAAATAAAAAACTGGAGGCTGGGATTGGTAAAGACTCTAAAGAGTTGATCCTAGGGCCCTATTCACAACAAGTGAACTTTTGATAGACAGTTTCATACAATTTGATATTTTCGACTAGTGAATCTTGGCAACGGTTTCAAAGCTTTACCACCGGGCATTTACAGCGAGCGCTTCATACTATTGGAAATTGTAAAGCTAAGATTCCTGAATGCCTAATAAATGTTTCAATTGTTCAGAAAGTTGAAAATAAATTTTGATATTTTTTCCCCGGCCACCATCATCAAATTTATTTTTTCTAATGGGCGCCATATCGGATTTTTTCTGTTTTGAATAGAACTTGTTATTCCCATTTCAATGGTGTATCACCACTGAACTATAACCCTATAGTTCAGTGTGTATCACAAGATGCCATTCAATCTAAAAAAATTGGAGATATGTAAAAAAAACGAATTATCATAGAAGGCTTAAAGTCTGATGCACTTTCAATCTGTCACATTCACACTTAATGAGATTCGGTTATTTTGTTGTCACTGAATTTTGGATTCCACGAGTGGAGAAAAAAGAGATATGATGAAAATTTATTACAAATAAATACTGGGCTAGTTTTATTAATGTGAACCCCTCTTTATCATTCTTGTTTTCCACCCATCCAAAAAATTTTAAAACTGATTTTATGCAATCAATTTTCATACAGGTTCCAATCATAGTGACGTGTTGCAATATCTCTTCAAATATACAGGGTATACTGAAATATATATTTTTTCAATATGGAATGCGCTGTATATTTTGATACGAATCCCTTATATATCATATGTATATTCGAAATCAGGATGAATTGAGGACTTCATTTGAAAAAAATATACTTTTCTGTATACCCTGTATATTCGAAGATATATTGCATTATTGTCAATATGAGTTGAATCTGTATGAAAAATTGTATACAATCAGCTCTAAATTGTTTTCAGATGAGTGGAAAAAAAGATAAAGGGGGTTCACATTACAATACACTGTACAATAGAAACGGTGTTCTGCCATCTGAAATGTAATGAACTCAAAACTAGATATTATTATGAACCTCGAACGAACAAAAATAATAAACTGAAATGAAAAAACTGTATTTTTGGCAGAAATGGTTTTCACACAATTTAGAGAGTTCAAAACATTTGGATAAATCAATCATGCACTGAATAATATTCGAAAAAGGGCCGAGTTATGTTATCAAGAACAAGAACAGCATTTTGAGCATTTGATGTGATTAACTTTCGCCTTCACATGTTAGTTTATTATATTTTGTTCGTTCGAGATTCATTCTAGTTGTGAGTTCAATTCATTCAGATGTCAGAACACTGTTACTATTCTACTTATTTGTAATAAATATTCATCATCTCTTTTTTCACCACTCGTGGAAGCCATTTCCGCCAAAACTAGCATAAAGAGCAACTGAAAGTTTTGGCCTGGAGGGTTTTAGTGGGGACTTTTGTGTAGGTATAAATTAAATACGTACCTCATTGGTGAAAATTACCTTGGCCCGTGAAGTCATTTTTTGAAATTTCAGCTCGGCAGCGAACATGTTAAATATCTCCAATTCTTCCGGAAAGAATGGCAACTTGTGATACACCTTTGAAAACCGAATTACAAGTTCTATTCAAAACAGAAAAAAGTCAAATATGGCGCCCATTGACAAAAATTAAGTTGATAATGGTGGCCGGGAGACGAAACGTCAGTTAGGAAATTTGAGAGCAACATCATGTAGTAGCAAAAAAATGGCAATGCAAAATTTCAGTTCATTTTGAAAAATGAAATCAATTTTTCACAATTTTGTTTTTTCCGGATATATCCAGAAAAACTTGGAATTTCGAAACTTTTTAAACGGCATATTGTTAGTTAGGTAAATGCGCAACTTTGCTCCAATTAAACCATCTTCTTATCTCTAATAGTTTCTAATATCCCAGTGGTGAGGATCGAATTTGAATTTGAAGGTGGTCAAAACCGGTCCATACCGTTTTTTCATGAACATTTTAAATATTAAATAAGATGTTGATGGTTTCAGTAAAAATATTATGTGTACCTCGTAGTTCCCAGACTTCAATGCTTGTTGTTGGCATCGGCTCAACATCTCGGCCAACAATTTACATTGTTGTCCGGGAATGAATTGCTTTTACTACTAGGCACACACAATGTACTATTCCTAACTCATCAGCTAACTAAGAAACATCTTGTCATGGGTATAAACAAATCAAATACTATCCTCTGTCAAATACTTTATGTAACTGGCCCTGAATTTGTGAAAATGTAAAAAGGAACCAAACACAAGATGATCATCATATCGGAAGACTGAAGTCAAATTACTTGCAACATACAAAAAACAACCCATATTTTTATGGAGTCTGGCCCGAATAATACGCCGAAAAGCTCACTTGTCGAGAATAGACTTACACTACACTGTTTTACCACTAATCAAACCGATTTTTTAACGCCTCGACACGTGTTTCGCTAACTATGTTAGCATCTTCAGGAGATTAAAACTAAATATCCTATTCTAGTGTGCTGCTTATATACTAGGTATATGTTCACCCAACTGTGAAAAATACTAACCGTCAAGTTAATGTTTGTCATGGTTGAGTTCACATGTTAATCTCAATTTTTATTTCACTAAACTATATAGAGGGCTATATGGAATAGGTCCATTATCCTTATCCATTACTCTATTACTATTCTTAAATATCTCCATGCTTTCATATGCGTCTAGTTTTCTAATGTTACTAACTTGCTTAACTAATTTGAGGTTAGTAATATGTGTGTTATGATTGTGATTGAACATATGTTCGGCTACACAAGATTTATCTAACCTGCCATATTTTAAATGGGCTATGTGTTCTTTGAACCTTGTTTTTATGGGTCGCCTGGTTTGGCATATATATGTTTTATCACAATCATTACAACTTATTTCGTATATTCCCGACTTTTCAAGTGTGTCCACTTTATCTTTCGGATTGCCTAATAAATTGCCTAATTTCGACCCAGACTGATAAACGCTTTCAAAACCTAAGTCTTTGAAAACCTTATCAAGTCCCTTCGTATACTTGGGATTGAACGGGATTGAGATTCTTCTAGAGTTCTTCTTATCCACTTGAATAGACTTATAAACCTTACCAAACAAACCATAGATGTATTGAATTTGAGTTTATTTCAATCAGTGTCAATTAGTTTCGAACGAAAAATAAGCGATTTTCAATATTTCCAAAGTGTTGAATCCATTTGCGACCAATATATATAATACATCAAGATTAAAATCAATAACCAAAAATACGTCAATACTAGAGTCCGACCACGATAACTTTGGGACAGCACGTGGTCGCGTATGCATTGAATATGCATATGCGTTGCGTCACATGCTGTCCCAAAGTTAACGTGGTCGGACTCTAACTCACAGTTGATGAAATGTCACAATAATTTTTCTTATTTCCAACAGAAATTCTCGCAAATAATAAACTAAAAATCACAAATGGCCAATAAGGTAAATTGGTTCATTTGGGAATGGGATAAGCTCCGTCCACTTGTGAGGTCAGGACTTAGGTAGTCTATACGGCCCATACTACGTTCATTGGCTTTCATGACTGTTTTCCCATTTCTTCGGACCCTGAGCGAAAGCGCATGCGTCTAAAATGTATCACATGATTCATTGTGACCAATAACCAATCAGAGATGGGAATACATCGGAATATTTAGCATCCAGAAATTAATCCAGCACCAGCAGAATAGCGGGTTAGTACCGATATACTCACCAAATGGAGATTGATCCCAATGAAATAAACAGTGGGGGTTAGGAAGAGAGCCAATCTCCAGAAATTTGCATTGATGTTCAATGAATTATGAGTGCAAATATAAAAAGTCCAATAAATAAAGCATAGGAAAGTTGCCATCCAAACGCGCGGCCAAAAGTACAAAGAATATTTTATTAAAACCATAAAGCTGTTTTCGTAGCGACTTGCTAAATGGTGGTATTCTTCGATCATCAATATTAGCCGATGAAGAAGTTGTAGGAAAACTGATAGCAATACTCCAGATGTATATAAATCTGAAATATAAAAAAACATCCCAAAATAGAATATGGTGCTCAAAATTATTTTTACAAAAAATATCACAAGAGTGCACTAAGGCATTTCAGGTATGTTTTTTCCACAACTATAAAAATATAAAGTTGTTAAATCAAAATAAAAAATGTTTTGAATCAAGTCAACACTAATACCAAACACTGAAGCTACGAACTCGGTTAAATGGGCAAACCAATAGCATTTTTAATGGTGATTACCATGGCACAGATTAAAATGACTCGCATACTCGAAATATCCTATCGATTTTGGTTTAAAGGAACTGAGCTCTGAGCTGTGCTCAAATTGTTCAGGATCGCTAGACTACCTACATACCGGTTTTGAGCTTTGGACTCTCATCAGTGCAGGGGTGTCTCCAGATGACTTCTTTGCCGCCATCTGGTGTGAACCTGAACCAACCTAAACACATCCCAGTATTTAATACCAATGAGGCGTTCGGCATATGCGAGTTGGACGTGAGTAAAAGCAAAGAAACACTCCAAAAGAAATTCCCATTTCAGATATTCACGAATCGTTGCATAAATACCGGGAGGATGTAATTCAATGTTCTGCGTGGCATATAGCCAGGAAAGTAACTGTGTCCCTCTAGTTATCTACCATTTTCGTTCATTTTTTGAACTAATGTAATAAAGACTCTGAGTTTCTTTCTCTTTGTGATGAATAATTATGTCATTTCAAACCTAAAACCAACTAATGAACAAAAATTCATTGTCTGATGGATAATGAAATTTAATATCCTTGAGCGAGGAGTTATCTGACCTCTCATATTGATGGTATACATAAAAATCAGTGCAATACATACTAGGAATTGATGTATTACATCATCATTGCTACTAGAAGTATAGAGCTGATGGTATCATCAATATCAGATTCATGAGTTGAAGAATCAAAAAATTCAGCGACCATCTAGAACGAGATCATCCATATATTCTAACTAAACTAGTACATGAATGAGTTAAATAAATTAATAAATCCATAGTTCCCATTTTCATATTCCTTAGGTTATTCTGAAACTCAAATCGTTCCGTTATTACTGACTGTTACCAGTATATTCAGTAGTAATACTAGTATGTACAACCTTCAATATTTTGAAGTTGAATTGCATTCCATGCTATTATTTTTTGAGATTTGAACGAACGTTAAAATTTGACGACGCGCTTTGTTCCTATGTAACAATATGAATTGGTTACTATGGAAATGGAAATAATTCTAAATTTCTGATTGGTGCAATTACGATCCACTTATACTCGAAATTATACAAGGTAGCTTAACTCATTGAACGTTCTGATTGGTTTAAAATCACAATGAAGAAAATAATCAGTAATATCGGAACTCCATCATAATCCACTAGATGATTCGAGGTTTTGAAAATCGTACCATCGTCCTCTAACGGTTTTGGAAATTAAAACTTTAGGAGAGTATCCAGAAAGTTTGCAAGCCAGTGAAAATGATTTCTCCACGTCGGTTCGCTCTTGATATTCTTAGTGGACCACGAAGAACGCGCTCAGCAGTTCGGAAAAAGTTTGATCCAGTGTGTGGAAACATATTTTTTTACAGTTGCAGAAAAAACGATGATTTTAAATAGCCAACTTACAAATTATTTTCGTGGTAGTTAATTCACTGGTGAAGAAATCAACTGAAATAAAAATAAAGAATCATTCATGAAATAAGTTGGTAAACAAAACCTGATTTCGGAATTATCAGCAATAAGAAGAACATGAATAATTTTCTTATCAGAGTAAATAGCAAATTATTCACAAAATGAATTATTCAATTATAATTTAGCATCAGTTTTTCCTTATTTTTTTCCATTATTAGTGCAACACTATAAACTTTGTCAAAAAAAGCACATGCAACTCAACTATATGCAATAAAAATAATCATCAGCTATTAAGCATTGAGAAGAAACATAAGGATTCAACATCTATTTAAAATAGTCTGGAGGTTTTATGAGTGGACATTATTTGGCTGAAGTGCATTGTGCAGATCAAACAATCCAGGTGAGGTACTGTGGTTGAGGGAAAACAAAAAAGATGGGGGTACTTACTTGAAAAAAATAGGAAACTCAAGCAAACTGAGACATAATTAGCTGCTGGACCTCGTTCCTTAGGAATACTTTTTGGATAGTAAAATTTATTTTTCCGATTTGATACACATAACTGAAAATATAATAAATATTTGTTTGATTTTTCATGAGCTTATGGGCATTGTAAATAAAATATATATGCACGGCCAGGAGTGAAGTAGCACTTTATTTCCCGGTTCAGCAATTGTTAAAATGATGTCAGTACTTTATCGTCTCCTGATAGTACTTAGATAGATTCATTGAGTGACAATGAAAAATGATAGCCAGAACATACATCACTCTTATGTGACATGCATTTATTCAATTAATGAAGTTTATTCAACCAATTAAGACAAGTAATGTATTGTCGGACAATGTGGCAAACTTTGAATTATATTTTTTCAGAATATAGGTACTAAAAAACTAAGGGCCGCTTGCATAATAAACGCCTGTGTTAACTTAAAGAGGAATCAAGGGATCAATAATGGGCTTATATCACAAAACATCTTTATTTCATAATTCGATAGAACTCACCAAAACTAGCTCACCACCGCAAACCGTTTCTTGCTGTGAGCTCCCTACGTTTTATAAAAAATTATTGAAATACTGATACTGATACTGAAACAAGACTATTCCAGACAGAGATGAATGATACATGATTTCTGACAGAGTGAATTAGCGCGAGATCAAAGTTAAAAGAATCAATATATCAGTTGCCTCAGTCTCCGTCGGGCGTTTGGTATTTTCTTTTAGCTATGGCGAGTTGAGGTTTCTACGTCATAAGAGGGTCCGTTTCCAGAAGGTACTATTATTCATGTTCAAAAATAAAATATTTCAGTTAATTTTTCGATCGAATTATGTTGTCAATCATTATTTATGTATAAAAGGATCATTATAAACATGGTTTGAGTTAAAAGTTCTAAGGTGTACACGCCCATTCTCCTAACTCATCGGCTCATTCATCAGCAAAGGCACAATAGTTGTCATGGATAGAAACAAATTGAATATTTAATTGTCTGTCAAATGCTTCAAGCAACCGGCATGAGTCAAACTCTCAGTACATTGACCATTTTTTCAAGGAATCAAGGGTGGGATAACTTGCATTGTGAGATTGGCTGTAAAGGCGTTGAATGTCAAATATAGGTAAATAAAATTTGTATTGTTTTTTTCAAAAATCATTCTATTTTTATTATTTTTAACTCAATGAGTAACTGATGGATTGTTAATGTTGTTATCCAATGAAAATTAGAGCAAATAAACTGTAATTGTAATCAACAAAATGACAAACAATAATAAACTTGACAGTGACACTGAATATGAAAGTACTGATAGTACCGTCAACCGGGGCTATATTGGACGTAATTTTCAATCATATGCCTGTATTTCTATTGTTATATGAGATTAAAGCTAACTTATGCATTCTATAGCAAGAACACTGAACATATTTATAATGAAAAAAACTTTCATGAAAGGTAAATTTATGATGGAGCATGAAACACATGCAGGACTGGTAGGTTATTTATCAATCTAAGGATATTGATGTTTAGTGAGTCAACTGTCACCCATCAGTTGTAGTGGGTTAAACTTGAAATATAACCATGTAATGGGATATTACCCCTGTGATCTGATAGAGCCCAGGTTGATGGTATTTTCTACCAACACAGTAGCACAAAATATCTCACCCTTCTCAGGTGAAATATGGCCAATGACAGGTAACCCCTAAAGCTTAAAGCAGATGGCACTGGTGAGGTTGGAGGTCATGTCAACTCATCAACTGTCAATCTTTGTTTATTACCAATGAAGGAATAGATATAATACTTGAATATAAAGTTTCATCCCTTCATCCAGTGAATAGAAATTTGTCTCACAAACACTAATTCACTCATCATTAGATGTCAAAATAAATAGATGCTGGTGAATTCATTTTTGATATTACCTGCAATATTACCTAAATACTCATTAGTAGAGTTTTCATAATCAAGTTTTGAATGTTATTATAAATTATTATAAAGATGTTTTCCTGGAATATACAAAATTTTCATAAAAATAAACAATACTAATTCATAAATTTATATAGATTCCTTCAGTTGGAGTAATGGAAGTTTGATCACCCTTTGTAATAAAAGTGATAATTGCCCTCAACATGGCCAGAGAGATAGCCACAGAACAATGCCCTGTAGTACACTATATTTAGTTTTTATTATCAATCAGAAAACATATTCATTGATTTTGTTATTTTTTGCTCTCATTAAACATGTTAACCCCCATGTGTATTGAAATGATACATAAAAATGTGTTCATGTGAACCTGTGTGTACTTTTTGATACACATGTGAAAGATTTAATCAATTGAATGTGTATTTTATCCTTGATTTTATCTGAACACACAGTTATCAGACATTTATATGGACCATCTATTCTGATGTCTTCAGGCCCTGGTAATTATATATAGTTTTTTTCTCTAGTGCCATGAAAATTATATGTTCAGATTGGCAACATGTCTGCACTCCAAACAAGTTCTGGAATGAGATATAAGCCTTCTACTAAAATAGAATACAATTTCTTATGTTTGAAAAGCTTTTTCAAAACACATCAGGTATCTTTGAATGTCCATTGAACTGTTCCTGTATTTCTTGGATGAATAAAGATATTCAAATAGGTATTGATTTCACTACAGACAGGTTGAAATGGTTTATATTGGTTAATTTTAGAACATCTTGGAAATACATTCAGTGACATATACATTTTGTCTGAATGAGTAATTGTTTCAGCAAATTGATAAAAATAAAGGCTCAGTTCAGAGTGCACATTTTTCATATCTTTATATTATAGGGGTTAAAGTGTTAAGTAGTCAGTCAGTAGTCTTTATCACTATTACTTTGGCTATCACAAGATCATGGTGCTATATTATTGAGATATTTGAGAAGGTATCCTAAAGCAATTCCTAGCAATAAATTGGGCTTTATTAGTTAAACACTCTGCTGAACATTACTTCCTGTTCCTTCATGTTGTATAGAATATGAATTTTACAACTCTAGCTATGTAACATTGTTCCTATTACTTACTGCTTTAAGATTCACTTTCGATTTCTCTCTCATAATGGCAGTTTGTGAAACTGAGCTTTTTATTGTGGATTCTCCCATGATGATCCTATATATCTGCCTGACCGTCTTTTTCTTATTCAGAAGGGTCTATTGTATCCTATAAATCATATCACCAGCCACTTTAGATAGGCACTTCAGAATTCAGATAGGTAGGTGATTTATAAATATTACCATGAGGATTATGGTCTCTACTTGAATATAATACTCTCCAGTATGGTATGGACAATGAGAAGTATACCTTGGTTTCCTGATCCTGAAATTATTCTTTGGTATGAAATTCTTAATACCCTTGCAATATTTGGTAATTTTGCACTTATCATGCGATGGGTTTTTTTTCGAAAAATTTTTTTGGTACTTACGTATTTTAGTCTGAAAAACACGAATTTGATATTGAAAATGTGAACAAACCAGTATTTATCGAGATATTTCAAGAAAAAGTTCGAAATTTTGCCTTATTTTCCCCCTTGTGTTGGATGCATTTACAGGTACTTGCTCTTTTTATTTTGTCATTGGACACTTCATATACTCATGATGTACTTCAATGACACATTTTAAGCTAGAAAATTCAACAGGAAATATAATTTTTATGGCGAGTTTTTCCTATTCAGTGAGCAAGCATACCAGATGACCGCCATTTAATCGATGGGTAATCCAAATAGGAGATGTCAAATGTCAATAGATTGCTTTGGAATGACATCACACACGCCATTATTTCAAATGATATTCTTCCTTCTTTTCACTAAACATGGATAAATCACAAGAAAATCATATTTCTAGTTGACTCATATAATAAAAAATATGTGTCCAACATTGTGTGATATATATAAATTGTCCAATGATGGAAAAAGAAGGGCAAATTGTTCTAAATGCGCCCCAAAGACAGGCGGAAAAGAAGGTGAAATTTGTAACTTTATAGTGAAATATCTCAATAAATAATGGTTTGTTCACATTTTCATTATCAAATTCGTGTTTTTCAGACAAAAATACGTAAGTACCAAAAAAAATTTTCGAAAAAAAAACCATCGCATGATAAGTGCAAAATTACCCAATATTTTCATTTGAATTCTGGATATATTATGAGATCCACTGCACACCACTGTAAATCCAAACCAAAGAATAGTGAATAGTAGATTGTTAGTAAACATTCAAGATTAATGATGAATCATGAATGTTTCCCGCCCTTCCCGGCAATCTGAATATTATGTATCACGAATATGCAAAATTTGTTCAAATTCATTACTACCATAAGAAGTATAATCAAATTAATCATAATAGTAATCATAAGTATTTTCAGTATTTTAAAAAGGAGGAACGTGTGAAAAAGCGAAAACATATGCTACAAAATATAGATAGAGAGGTCCGATCCGATTCTTGTCTAAACGTGTCTAAACTCTAGTCTAGAGTCTAGTAGTCTGCGCCACTGATCTAATTTCGACCGCGGTAGAATAACACGTCACTCTACCTGAAGGTGAAAACTTGAACTCGAAAAACATTATTATATGAACCAATGAAAACAAAACAGCTTTCAAGAACTCCGATAGGTGGCGTACACTTATTTTCACGAGAGCCTAAAGTTTTCGAACCATTCCCAAACCTCATTTTAAAATTGTTGGTAACAGTGAATCACAAGTAAGGTGGCTTAGAACCCTCGGGGTCTCGAGAGGAAGGAAAATAGTATATTGTGTATCTAGTGCGTGAAGTATACTTTTTTACGCGAGTGTGGAAGTTTGTGGAACGAGCCGCAGGCGAGTTTCACAATCCGCACGAGTGTAAAAAAGTCTTCACGGACGTGGTGCACAGTATACTTTTTCTACGACGTTTTACTTAGAGATTGAATTGAAGGAAAATTTGACTAATTTTCTTTATTACAATAATAATTTTTATGAACAGTTATATTGCAATTTTGTAAATTGTCGAAATGTACATTTACTTTGTCTTTCTCTACAAAATTAGTGCTACCTAGACCAGCGACCGGTGTGTGAATTTGTATTGACTCTTATGGCACCAGTGCGTGAAATAAATCCCATAAGAAAAGCATGGCACTTCACACACCGATTCGTGAAATGAAGCTTTACACATTTTTATCGATGTGTGAAGTTAGTAATTCACATACGGGAGTAGAAAAACATTCTTGAAAGCCTATAAATCACTACACAAATGAATACAGTGGGCTGACGCCATGCTATTAGTGGACTAGAATAATACTCTCTGACCAAACTCAGCCTCCACTATTTTATTGCAAAAAATAATCATCAAAAACCACAAATCTTCACATATCACATGAAGGGAATGGTTCGAAAGATTTAGGCACTTCCTTCTGAACTGACATATTATTTCACTATTTTTGACTATTTTCACTTGGACTGAACGTGGACTGAACTACAAATACATCCGAAAGAACACATAATAACTGACTCAGTTCAGTATATGAGTTCTAGTGAGATATTTCAGACTATAAAATGATATGAAATGTGATATGTCAATATTATACGAAAACTCAGGAGTGCCAGTGCAAAAAAAATAAAAAGTCGAAATTCCGACTTAGGAAGTCGAAATTTCGTCTTAGTAACTCGAAATTTCGTCTTATTAAATCTTACCAGGTCGAAATTTCGTCTTACTAACTCGAAATTTCGTCTTATGTAAGACGAAATTTGGAAATTTCGTCTGAGCTCACAGCCACAGAATGGTATTCTGTGTACTTATTAGTATCTCTTCATTATTTAGAGCGAGTTGAGAATAAGTTCGAACCGAGCCGTTTATACCCATTTTCGATACTTGACGTTTATGTCCTCATTTTCAAAATCTTAACACTCATATAATAGAGATCTGAGTTGAAAAACTGAGAAAACAGTGAACCGAAACTTTCATCCGTCGTGGGTACCTAGATCTAGATGTATTTTGTAATGGCCAAGAACCATCAATAACGCCGGTTTCATAGGTCTATGAGTTCTGTGGTTTCATATGACTTTTCATGAAACCTCGAAATTTCGAGATAACAATCATGTCGAAATTTCGAAATTTCGACTTAGTAAGACGAAATTTCGAGTTGGTGAGACGAAATTTCGTCTTATTAAGTCGAATGTTTGACTTACTAAGTCGAAATTTCGTCTTACCAAGTCGAAATTTTGTCTTACTAAATCGAAATTTCGTCTTATGCAAGACGAAATTTGGAAATTTCGTCTAAACTCACAGCCACCGAATGGCGTATTCTGTGTATTTAGTATCTCTTCATTATTTAGAGCGAGTTGAAAATATGTCCTCATTTTCAAAATCTTTACACTCATATAAAGAGTGTCCCGAAATTAGCCTGCCAAACTTCACCAGCGGCTTTCACTACCAAAAATAGAAAGAAAACTGTCAATGAACATGGGATGAGAAATGCCTCCTCAGAGAGCTATGGCCCCCCGAAAGGGGGCCCTCGAAGATGATATTTCTTGAGTATTTCCGAAACTCCATGTAATAAAAAAATTCCCCTTGGTACAAGAACTGAAATTTCTATGCCCAATGCGGTGTAAATAAAATCATTTCAAAATTTCAATCAGGAGTGTATAATACAGGGTGGGACTATATTAAATATTGCTCCAAAATTTTTTTTTTGTATATTTTTCGACAATTTGATCTCGGATTATGAAATTTCACACCTACTCTTGTTCTGTGACGATCAGATGATGAATTGTTATCGAGTTAAAGCAATTTAAGAATATTAATTGTTACATCTCAGATATTATGCGCATACCATTGCAATGAAGCATAGTGGAAATGGAAAAAAAATGCACAAAAATTGAAGTAGTTGCCACTATGATTTGAAAATCGGCAACGTTATGCATAAGATGTGAATGTATCAATATTTTTTAAATCGATTTCAATCGAAAATGATACATATCTGATCAATGCGGAACAAGAGCACTTATTTTTGTGAAATGAGGTGGATTTTTATAATCCGAGACTACATTGTCAAAAAATATGCATACGAAAAAGCAATATTTAATGTGTAGTCCCACCTTGTATATTTTACACTCCTGAATGAAACTCTTAAATGATTTTATGTTCACCGCATTGGGCATGGAAAGTACCAAATTGCATCATTTTATCACGTGGCGTTCCGGAAATATCCAAGAAATATCATCTTCAGGAGCCCCCTTTCATCAGGGGGCTATAGCTCCCTTAGGAGAAATTTCTCGACTCATGTTCATTGGACCTTTTCTTCCTATTTTTGGTCAAAGGAGCTGCTGGTGAAGTTTGGCAGGCTTATTTCAGGACACCCTGTATAATAGAGATCTGAGTTGAAAAACTAAGAAAACAGTGAACCAAAACTGGCATCCGTCGTGGATACCTAGATCTAGATGTCTTTTGTAATGGCCAAGAACCATCAACAAGGCGGTTTCATATGACTTTTCATGAAAACTCGAAATTTCGAGATAACAATCATGTCGAAATTTCAAGTTAACTATGTCGAAATTTCGAGATTTTGAGTCAAAATTTCGACTTACTAATACGAAATTTCGACTTAGTAAGACGAAATTTCGAGTTGGTAAAACGAAATTTCGACTTTCTAAGTCGAAATTTCGACTTTTTATTTTTTTCCAATGGAGATTTAGCAGTTGAATAAGTGGTGGAAAAATTCCACTCAAGGATGTCAGGTAGTGCCATCTGTCAGCAGAGTGATTTACTTGTAATACCACTCTGTAGCGTATAGACGTAGGGGTCTGTACGTGTGACTATAGATGGCAGCGCCATACAGTGTATGTCGCGATATCTCTGTATCCTACCTCAGAGCTTTGCCTCAAGATGGCTACAACATGACTACAACTTCATGTTATACCCTGCATAGTGATTAATGTCATTGACTGATAAATACTTGTTTCGACATCTTCTGTTAATATCGTTAGACACTGTTGAATTATATGAAAAGTAAGTATTTAGAAGAATTACTTTTAATGAAAACAGGTTTGAAGAAGGAAAATAGCGTTTCTGCATGAAGAAGGAGACCTCTTCCGAACTCAACCTTTTTTTCTTAAAAGTATATTCTTTGAGAATAG